CAATGTGATTTTCTGGATTTTTGTTTTAGATTCCGTCTCTCACAGTTGAAGTGTACCTATGATAAAAATTACAGACCTCTACATGCTTTGTAAGTAGGAAAACCTGCAAAATCGGCAGTGTATCAAATACTTGTTCTCCACACTGTAGTTCCGAAGTTGCCTTCGAACCATCACTACTTCGAAGAGAACTTACACAGTTTTAGAACACCAACTCATTCAAGGGTTTTTCTTAATTTTTTACTATTTTCTACATTGTAGAATGATAGTGAAGACATCAAAACTATGAAATAACCCATATTGAATCATGTAGTAACCAACAAGTGTAAAAAGAATTAAAACATATTTTATATTTGAGATTCTTCAAATAGCCACCCTTTGCACACACTTGGCATTCTGTCAACCAGCTTAACCTGGAATGGTTTTCCAACAGTCTTGAAGGAGTTCCCACATATGCTGAGCACTTGTTGGCTGCATTTCCTTCACTCTGAGGTCCGAGTCATCCCAAAGCATCTCAATTGGGTTGAGGTCGGGGGATTGTGGAGGCCAGGTCATCTGGTGCAGCACTCCATCACTCTCCTTTTTGGTAAAATACTCCTTACACAGCCTGGAGGTGTGTTGGGTCATTGTCCTGTTGAAAAATAAATGATAGTCCCACTAAGCCCAAACCAGATGGGATGGCGTATCGCTGTAGAATGTTGTGGTAGCCATGCTGGTTAAGTGTGCCTTGAATTCTAAATAAATCACAGAGAGTGTCACCAGCAAAACACCCCCAAACACGACATACAGGTGTATTGGAAGAAAGTCAAGGAACACTCCAAATCACCTGGTCGTGACAAACTTGGCAACGACCATGCCGACAGCATGGCAAAATCTCGTGCATTCACGGCACTCCTTGGGTGTTCGATGCTTGGGACACACTGATCACTAGTGCCCCCATGGTGTCTGTGGTAACGTGTAGCCATGTAGCACCGCAGGAAACCTCTTCTCACGAACATAATGTATTGCTAACTCATTCATTCCAGAATGGTGACCTGGTAGCAATGCAACACCAAGAGTCCTTCGCCACTTTGATGGCTTTCTCGTCTGATCCTGTCAATCACCCAGTGACCGAGCTGGCTTTGGCAGGCTCACACGACTTGCGTTCGCTGTATGCCACTAAACAGCACCTCACACTTGTAGATGACCTACTAGTGCATGTTTTGGAAACCGGCGCCACATAAAGGTGGGTGGTTCCCAAAACACAGAGGGGGATAATGATAGCTCATGTCCACGACGAGCCATGCAGAGGCCATAGGGGGGTCATTGCGACAGTTGGCCCACTGGCCTCACATGGAACAAGACGTGGTACAATACGTGAGGGGGTGTCTAGTTTACTGCCAGTTTCAACCCTCCAAGCCACTTCACAGAGCACCCTTGTAGCGCAAGAGTGTGTCTTATCCTTGGAGCGCGATCCAGATCGACTGTTGCCAGGTCGGCAAGAGGCAACAAGTATCTCCTCACAGTGACTTGCACATTCACAAAGTGGGTGGAGTGCCTGCCAGCAACCAATGACACAGGAAAAACCACGGCCATTCTCTTGCTGAACCACGTTTTCAGTCGATTCGGCCTGCCAGGAGAAATCGTGGACAGCGACCGAGGAACGCATTTTCTCGGCTTCTGTAATGACTGAACTGTGGCAGCTTCTGGGAGTCAAAGCCAAACTCCATATCGCGTACCACCCTAGGAGCTCCGGCAGTGTAGAAAGGGGCGATCAGACACTCATCAGAATCCTGAGGAAATATGTGGCAGCCAAACACAAAGATTGGAACCTCAAACTCCCACTGGTACTGATGGTGATCAGAGCCACATGCAACAGGTCTACGGAAATAACACCATTTGAGATGATGACGGGCCGGCAAATGACGCTTCCACTGCATCTCTTGTACCAACCGGGAGATGTCGTCGCAGCCACCGCATACACGGCTCATCAATACGTGACGGACTTGCGAACCTACCTCCAGACTACCTTGCATACGCTCAAGGAAAGTTGGAAAGAAGTGTAGAAGGTGACAAGACCCATTACGACAAAAAGGCCTCACACCAGGAGTTTGACGGTCGGGGATAAGGTGTGGTACTACATGTACACCAAACTCGTGGGTGTCGCGAAAACGTTCCTGCCCCACTGGTTAGGGCCACATGTGTTATAGCTGTCACTTATCAAATCAGAATCAGCAAAGTTCAACAAAACACCACGTTCAAGTGGGTCCACATATTTTATTCTCTTCCCAGCTACAAGATATACAGTCGAAGTCGGATGTTTACATACACTTAGGTTGGAGTCATTAAAACTCGTTTTTCAACCACGCCACACATTTCTTGTTAACAAACTATAGTTTTGGCAAGTTGGTTAGGACATCTACTTTGTGCATGACACAAATAATTTTTCCAACAATTGTTTACAGACAGATTATTTCACGTATAATTCACTGTATCACAATTCCAGTGGGTCAGAAGTTTACATATACTAAGTTGACTGTGACTTTAAACAGCTTGGAAAATTCCAGAAAATGATGGCATGGCTTTAGCTTCTGATAGGCTAATTGACATAATTTGAGTCAATTGGAGGTATACCTGTGGATGTATTTCAAGGCCTACCTTCAAACTCAGTGCATCTTTGCTTGACATCATGGGAAAATCAAAAGAAATCAGCCAAGACCTCAGAACAAAAATTGTAGACCTCCACAAGTCTGGTTCATCCTTGGGAGCAATTTCCAAACGCCTGAAAGTACCACGTTCATCTGTACAAACAATAGTACGCAAGTATAAACACCATGGGACCACGCAGCCGTCATACCGCTCAGGAAGGAGACGCGTTCTGTCTCCTAGAGATGAACGTACTTTCGTGCGAAAAGAGCAAATCAATCCCAGAACATCAGCAAAGGACCTTGTGAAGATGCTGGAGGAAACAGGTACAAAAGTATCTATATCCACAGTAAAACGAGTCCTATATCGACATAACCGCTCAGCAAGAAAGAAGCCACTGCTCCAAAACCGCCATAAAAAAGCCAGACTACGGTTTGCAACTGCACATGGGGACAAAGATCGTACTTTTTGGAGAAATGTCCTCTGGTCTGATGAAACAAAAATAGAACTGTTTGGCCATAATGACCATTGTTATGTTTGGAGGAAAAAGGGGGACGCTTGCAAGCCGAAGAACACCATCCCAACCGTGAATCACGTGGGGTGGCAGCATCATGCTGTGGGGGTGCTTTGCTGCAGGAGGGACTGGTGCACTTCACAAAATAGATGGCATCATGAGGAAGGAAAATTATGTGGATATATTGAAGCAACATCTCAAGACATCAGTCAGGAAGTTAAAGCTTGGTTGCAAATGGGTCTTCCACATGGACAATGACCCCAAGCATACTTCCAAAGTTGTGGCAAAATGGCTTAAGGACAACAAAGTCAAGGTATTGGAGTGGCCATCACAAAGCCCTGACCTCAATCCTATATAACATTTGTGGGCAGAACTGAGAAAGCGTGTGCGAGCAAGGAGGCCTACAAATCTGACTCAGTTACACCAGCTCTGTCAGGAGGAATGGCCCAAAATTCATCCAATTTATTGTGGGAAGCTTGTGGAAGTCTACCCGAAACATTTGACCCAAGCTAAACAATTTAAAGGCAATGCTACCAAATACTAATTAAGTGTATGTACACTTCTGACCCACTGGGAATGTGATGAAAGAAATAAAAGCTGAAATAAATGATTCTCTCTACTATTATTCTGACATTTCACATTCTTAAAATAAAGTGGTGATCCTAACTTACAGGGAATTTTTACTAGGATTATACAGTGAGGGAAAAAGGTATTTGATCCCCTGCTGATTTTGTTCGTTTGCCCACTGACAAAGAAATGATCAATATATAATTTTAATGGTAGGTTTATTTGAACAGTGAGAGACAGAATAACAACAAAAAAATCCAGAAAAACGCATGTCAAAAATGTTATAAATTGATTTGCATTTTAATGAGGGAAATAAGTATTTGACCCCCTCTCAATCAGAAAGATTTCTGGCTCGCAGGTGTCTTTTATACAGGTAACGAGCTGAGATTAGGAGCACACTCTTAAAGGGAGTGCTCCTAATCTCAGTTTGTTACCTGTATAAAAGACACCTGTCCACAGAAGCAATCAATCAATCAGATTCCAAACTCTCCACCATGGCCAAGACCAAAGAGCAATCCAAGGATATCAGGGACAAGATTGTAGACCTACACAAGGCTGGAATGGGCTACAAGACCATCGCCAAGCAGCTTGGTGAGAAGGTGACAACAGTTGGTGAGATTATTCGCAAGTGGAAGAAACACAAAATAACTGTCAATCTCCCTCGGTCTGGGGCTCCATGCAAGATATCACCTCGTGGAGTTGCAATGATCATGAGAACGGTGAGGAATCAGCCCAGAACTACACGGGAGGATCTTGTCAATGATCTCAAGGCAGCTGGGACCATAGTCACCAAGAAAACAATTGGTAACACACTACGCCGTGAAGGACTAAAATCCAGCAGCGCCACCAAGTACTAAGTCATGTTTTGCAGAGGGGTCAAATACTTATTTCCCTCATTAAAATGCAAATCAATTTATAACATTTTTGACGTGCGTTTTTCTGGATTTTTTTGTCGTTATTCTGTCTCTCACTGTTCAAATAATCCTACCATTAAAATTATAGAGACTGATCGTTTCTTTGTCAGTGGGCAAACATACAAAATCAGCAGGGGATCAAATACTTTTTTCCCTCACTGTATGTCAGGAATTGTGAAAAACTGAGTTTAAATGTATTTGGCTAAGGTGTATGTAAACTTCCGACTTCAACTGTACGTTTCATTGTAATTGTTGATATTGTCCTGCATTGTGCTGTTTGAAATAGGAAAATCAGCTAAATTAGTTCTGTCAAAAACGTTTTTCTTTCACAAAAAAACAACTGAAATAAACAAATAATATCTCTAATTATGCGTTTTTGTAGGATGGAGTTCCTTTGGTTGATCCTGACACTCTGCGCCCTGGTCAAAACCAAACCAGCAGATGTACTCACGAGTGGACTCCCTACGGGAATCGTTCTCCGTGATGATCCAGGACTCCTTATAACAAACTGCAGAGTATACACGCAGAGGGTGTACGTCCGCCTAGATGCAGAGAACGTGTACCGCCAACACATTCCACCTGCGGCACATTTGAGTTGGGCCGGGGCTGATTTGACCACCCAGGCAGTTAAGCACGTCCAGCTTGAGACTGCCCACATGTTGGCCCAACTCCAAAAGTTCACAGTCACCCAGTCAGAACTAGCAGAGCCAGGCGAGAAAAACGATTCATCTGGGCGCTACTCTCAATAGGTGCAACCGTAGGGTCACTATTTGCTCTAGGTACCACTGCCGTCAACGCAGCCAGTCTAGCCAGATTACTGAAGAGATGCCACTTATCCAACAACAGATGCAATCACAGGCACTCAGGTTGCAGCATGTGGGAAGGTCTCTCCAGGACACTATTCTGGTGAATAAACACACACGCTTCTCTCTTGAACAAAACACTCCTGTCGGTAGGAAAGTTAGTAGAGGTCATGAACCATGACTATGCCCATGTCCAATTGGTTCGATTGTTGTTGGAAGATTTTCTCCGTGAAGTTAGCTCTTCTATGGACCACTTGGCTATGAATAGAATCCCCTCATATCTAGTGTCCCTCTCAATGGTGCACAACATATTGACCTCAGCTACCACAACCACGATAAAGCCATTACAGTCACACCTGGCCTATAGTCTGGGGTCTGCAATTCCAATACATGTTGATGTTAATCGTAACTAAGTGGGATTTTTACTGACGCTGCCGGTTGTTGAACTGGAGAATATCTATAGGTTGAAAACGGTTCTAAAACGTAGGATTTTGGTGCGACAACACCCATGTGAAAATCACCACATCCCCAGTCATAGCTTATCAGGAACACAATCCAGATTTCTATCTCACCCCTAACCTGTTAATGTGTACTCTAACCAAAGACGTCCACTACCTTTGTACTAGCAAACCCTTCGTCAAGGATAACACTGAGCGTCTTTGTGGACTTAAGCCTATCACCAGCGAAGAACACTGTAGAGCCAAACTAACAGCAAGAGATGGGATCACCACCACACAAGTGGAGGTGGTAGGGAATCAACTTGCAGAATCCTTCCAATATTGAACTCACCAGAGGGGGACTGTCATGACTGTCCTGTGACGATCCAAATGGATCAGCTTTGCAATGAATAATTTCCACCAGACCCCCTCTCACCCGCAGAGGGGGGGAGGAGGGAACTGGTGTGGGGTTGACACTTCACGCCCCTGTTGTAAATCAAAGGAGAGAAGATCCAGGGTCTACCTCTCCAAATTCACAAAGGAATGTGCTTTGTCTCCAGATACTTTTTACAGCTGAAACTTTAACACGTTCAAAAGCGAATACTGTAACAATATTCCTAACAGAGAATGGGGGGAATGGTCAGAGGCGATCTATAGAAAACGAATGTCATATTGTTGGTTATTTTGTGATGTCATTAAAAATGTTATAAAGGAAATACTTTAACTTTATAAGTATACAAACTATATGTGTGAAGTGTCCATCTGATGCGTTGTGCATGAAACATGAAAAATTATGAAAGTGTTTTTGTTAAGAGAGGGACATGATTTTAGGAGCTTGACATAACTTTGTACAAGTGACAAGTCACGCCCCGAGTGAGGTCAGAGAGCGTGTGAGCCTGACGGAACCGCCCCTTTCGACCAGAGTGCATAAAGGATCGGTAAAGAAATTAACATTCAGACCAGAAAGACGTAAAGCTGCAGCTGCACGTCTAAAGTGGTTTGAACTCTGAATTGCAAAACGAGGTGGAGAAGAAAACTCCCTCCAGGATAATCACTGGTATGGCTGATTAGCTGTCTTAAATACAGTATATTGGAAAGTGAAGTTAAGTGGGACCATTCTACTACTCTATTCAAGCCATCCTACATCATCCCACTGAGGAACCATCAACACAGATGGCTAGCCTATCTTCAAAGAAGCAATCTTCCAGAACGAGTGGAAGGAAAATCCATTCTGTAGTTCTGTTTAGGACTTCATAACAAGTCACCGGACAACTACAGAGGACCACAACAGTAGAAGACTTGTTGTAACGGTTGGACAATCAGAGCCTTACGAGCGAGCTGCGAGAATGCCCAACCAACTCCCTTTCCAGGGCGGCCCGGTTCCGAGAGAGAGAGCTACACGGCGGCACCTCATGTAAATACATTCATGATTTCTTACTCCAAGCAGGCGGCGGTTCGTGTGCAAAGTATAGGAGAAATATAAGTGAGAGTAGTTTCTAAATGTACCAACGTTGTGTCTCTGTCCTTGTCTCTCTAACTCTCCCTCTTTTGTAACAAGCAGTCATGTTGTTGTCAGTCCACTAGGGACCTGTTGTTAATGTATTGAGTGTGTATGTTATCCTGCGTTACCATTTAGTTAGCTAGTAAATAAATAATTAACCAATTTGTGTAGTACTGAATCATAAGTAAGGCTGGGTTTTTTGCAGGTGCAAGGAGGTTACAACGTTCAGAATGATGATATGATAAGTGGTTATGATTAATAAGTTGACTGTATATCGATGTGATAGGTATAAACCTTCTAGAGTTTAATTCGGGAGATGGTAACTCTTTAAACAAGAGTTACCTCTCAAGGTGCCCCAAATCCTAATGAGTTAATTATTAACACGTGATTTCTATTGGCGACTGTATTTAACATTCAGCAAAAAAGAGCTTGCATCCCTCTTCGAATATATTAAATTGGTATAAGAAATGCAAAAAAAATGTCCAGCAAGCTATTCTAGTCTAGCTTTTCCTGCATGGGACTCTAAGAGCTAAGGAGCGTTTTTTAAGGAGAGGCCAGCGGAGCACAGGTGCTTGCATATTGCACAAGAGAGTTAGAAGCTTATTATGCATAACCCATCATTAATTAGATAAATATAAGGCTAATACTGCATTGAATTTATTAACTGAAAGAGGTAGGCTAGGACATCTATATATTGGGCTATAATGTATATCAATCTAGAACAGGATTATCTATTTTGGATGCAATTTGAATGGAGTTGATGGAGAGAGAGAAAGGAAAATGAGGCTGTAACTTAACAAAATGTGGAAAAAGTCAAGTGGTTTTGTTCAGTGGTCAGTAGTGCAGTGGTTGTTTGTTCAGTTGAGGTTCAGTTGTCAGTAGCGGGGTGGCTGTAGGTTCAGTTATTAGTAGTTGCAGGTTCAGTTGTCAGTAGTGCAGTCGTTGCAGGTTCAGTTGTCAGTAGTGGTTCAGTTGTTGGGGTCATTGTTGTTGTTATTGCTGAAAAAAATGCAAAATCCATTCTGTGAATTCCGTCAGAGAAAAGAGGACAACACACTTCTGAAGCACCAAATCAACTGACCACCAGCCACGTTTCCATCCACAGTTTTTATGCGAGTAAAGTCATATCGTATAAAAAAAATAATCAGAACAGGTGCGATAGAAACATTCCAACAGATCATTTGTCCAGTCGACATGGTGGGATGTTTTTGTCTCTGTAAAATTATACTGAACAAAAATATAGAACGCAACATGTAAAGTGCTGGTCCCATGTTTCATGAGTTGAAATAAAAGATACCAGAAATGTTACATACGCACAAAACCTTATTTCTCTAAAACGTTGTGTACAAATTTGTTTACATCCCTGTTAGTGAGCATTTCTCCTTTGCCAAGATAATCCATCGACCTGACATATCAAGAAGCTGATTAAACAGCATGATCATTACACGTGTACCTTCTGCTGGGGACAATAAAAGTCACAACACAATGCCACAGATGTCTCAAATTTTGAGGGAGTGTGCAATTGGCATGCTGACTGCAGGAGCTGTTGCCAGAGAATTGAATGTTAATTTCTCTACCAACGTCATTTTAGAGAATTTGGCAGTACGTCCAACCGGCCTCACAACCGCAGACCATGTGTAACCACGCCATCCCAGGGCCTCCACATCCGGCTTCTTCACCTGCAGAATCGTCTAAGACCAGTCACCCGGACAGCTGATGAAACTGAGGAGTATTTCTGTCTGTAAAAAAGCCCTTTTGTGGGGAAAAACTTGTTGCAATGATCATGAGAACGGTGATGAATCAGCCCAGAACTACACGGGAGGATCTTGTCAATGATCTCAAGATAGCTGGGACCATAGTCACCAAGAAAACAATTGGTAACACACTACGCCGTGAAGGACTGAAATCCTGCAGTGCCCGCAAGGTCCCTCTGCTCAAGAAAGCACATATACAGGCCCGTCTGAAGTTAGCCAATGAACATCTGAATGATTCAGAGGAGAACTGGGTGAAAGTGTTGTGGTCAGATGAGACCAAAATCGAGCTCTTTGGCATCAACTCAACTCGCCGTGTTTGGAGGAGGAGGAATGCTGCTTATGACCCCAAGAACACCATCCCCACCATCAAACATGGAGGTGGAAGCATTATGCTTTGGGGGTGTTTCTCTGCTAAGGGGACAGGACAACTTCACTGCATCGAAGGGACGATGGACGGGGCCATGTACCGTCAAATCTTGGGTGAGAACCTCTTTCCCTCAGCCAGGGCATTGAAAATGGGTCGTTGATGGGTATGCCAGCATGACAATGACCCAAAACACACGGCCAAGGCAACAAAGGAGTGGCTCAAGAAGAAGCACATTAAGGTCCTGGAGTGGCCTTGCCAGTCTCCAGACCTTAATCCCATAGAACATCTGTGGAGGGAGCTGAAGGTTCGAGTTGCCAAACATCAGCCTCGAAACCTTAATGACTTGGAGAAGATCTACAAAGAGGAGTGGGACAAAATCCCTCCTGAGATGTGTGCAAACCTGGTGGCCAACTACAAGAAACATCTGACCTCTGTGATTGCTAACAAGGGTTTTGCCACCAAGTACTAAGTCATGTTTTGCAGAGGGGTCAAATACTTATTTCCCTCATTAAAATGCAAATCAATTCATAAAATATTTGACATGCGTTTTTCTGGATTTTTTTGGTGTTATTCTGACTGATCATGTCTTTGTCAGTGGGCAAACGTACAAAATCAGCAGGGGATCAAATACTTTTTTCCCTCACTGTATGTTCTGGAAATTTTGCTGTTACTTACAAGAGTCATGCTAATCACATTAGCGCACGTTAGCTCAACTGTCCCATATACGGGACACCGATCCCGTAGAGGTTAACGCAGTTGTTTTTGGCAAAACTAATCGGTAGAGTTGAAAATGAGATGGAAACACATTGAACTTTCGATTTTTTATTCGGTACACAAAAACTTAGGCGAAAAAGTACATTGTGTGCACTACATACATCATCACCCAC